CACCTTCTTGTGGCCTCAAGCAACCCAGATATACCCGTGAAGACAGAGACCCAAGGCCGCTTCCTACTCGCAGACCCCACGACCAACAACTGTTCCCTGCAAATCAGCTCCTGGATGCAGGGCGCAGGCATCCTGGACGCCAGCACCGCGGCGCAGAGGTAAGCGCTCGGAAGCGACCCAGCGCTCTGGGGTTGGACGGCTCCGCGCCGCCTTCACGCAGCTTGCAGAGAGAGCTGCTAGGGCGCGGGCAGGAGGGAGCCCTAACTCTGGACAGTCCCCGCAAGCTCTCCCGCCCACCCTGCCCCGAGCGTCAGTGCTCTCTCCTGAGGATGTGGGGCGGGCAGGCCGGGGCGGGGCTTCTGCCTCCACTCCAGGCTGTCCCGGCTCTGACTTCTGACTATTGCAGGTGGGCCCGGCCACCCATGGCTCTAAGGAAAAGGTATCCCGCCTGCCCGCCGCCCTGAGCCTAACCCCACAACCACCAGCTTTGTAGGAACTCCCTGGGCAGTCCCAGTGCCCCTGCAGGTCCAATTCCGGGGCTCAAACCCAGCCCCCTTTCTGCTTTCCCACGCCCCTCAGTGGGAGGATGGGTGTGCTGTGCTGGAGAAGCGGCAGGGGGCTGAAGAATGGGAAAGACGAGGCGGGCAGCCCGCTTTGCTAGCTAGAGTGATTGGGGCTGGGAATGGGGCAGGGCCGCTCAGGTCCCGCCTCTTCTCAAGGTGTTTTTCTGGTGGGTCCTACGGGAGGCTGGGTGTCCCTGGGAAGCCCGCACCCACACCCATCTCCTCTGACTCCTTTGCAGGAGTCTGGGCAGGGAGGCTGGGTGGGGGATGGACTCATGGATTTGGAAAGGAAGTTTAAAGATGTGTTGACCTGCCCCCACAGCACTAGGGCCCCCAGCTTCTTCTATCTCTAGTCGTGAGCATGGGGGGAAGGGGGGTAGTATGGAGAGGTGCTGCCTCTGCAGACAGCTGGGACATGGGAAAGCTGGACTTCCCAGAGTCCTGAGCAGCTGCTTGTACAGCAGCCTGAAGGGATTCTCATAGGGGATTGCCTGGCACCCAGGCCATATATTCACATCCCCTGCCCTGTCCAGGAGACACCACTCAGAGTCCAACCCCAGCCTTACCCCTTAGCACACCTTGTTTCATGCTGACTGAACCGGTGATTCTGCACGTCCTTTTATGACTGTCAGGAGGGAGCACTGGGGGGATTCTCTCTGGAGTTCATCTCTTCAAGAAGAGAAAGGTCTTCCTCTGCATTAATTCACTCATGATATGATTATATTCCAGAAAATTGGAAAATAGGACACAAAACCCCACCTCTCTAATACAACTACTGTCAACACTTTCTTCCCATCTTTCCTCTCATTACCATGTTTTTTCCTCTGTGCTATGCGTACAATTTTGTATCCCGTTGTTTTTCTGTTGGTTCTGGCTTTTTTATTTAATGTGACATAATCAATCTCTTAATATCGCCCCATGTTTCTCTCCACCTCTGGCTGTGTGGTGAAAGCTCCTTGTAACCGTGGATAGGGAGCTCCATTGGGGCCTCTGGGGTTTAAGGTCCCTCTTTTTCTCTGACTCTCTCCTGTGTCCCAGCCTCAGGCAGCAGGTTGGATGAGGGGGAAGCAGATGTGAAGGAGGCAAGTGCCCCTATAGCTTCTGTGGGTGCAGGAAGTGTGGGGTGAGGCTCTGCCAGCGGATTAGGCCACCAGCAGTGTTGTCTTCACATGGGGGTCTTGACTGGTGCTTGGGGGTCAGATGTGAGTCCCCAGGGCCACATTGCTGGACTCAGAAGGCTTCCGCAATTTGAAAGGGGGCATTTCTTCAGGCCTAGGCTGCATGTCTCCAATTCCAGAGACTTGTCTTAGGACACAGCCTGAGGGGGCTCCCTGCCCCGCCCCCCACATTTGAGTGACTCTGGGTCACCTCCTTCCAGAGAGCAGGCTAATCCTTTCTCCTCATTCTTCCCGGAAGTAGCCCAGCCTCTCTCCTGTTTGTATCTCAATCCTCAGCTGGTCTTGTGCTCAGCTCTTCCCATCCTAAAACAGCAACAACAAAACTTCTTTTCCTGTCCCCACCTCCCTCTTCAACCTCTGCCTGGTTCCTCTCCCTCTCATCTCTGAGAAACTTGCCCAGGAGCACCCCACCCCCCACCCCACAAGGCTGCTTAGCTGTCTTTTATGCTCTCCTTTGCCCCACAGTCACCTGGTTGTCGAGGCTTCTGGAAGTTCCCTCTGTGTCCTACTCCTGATCTCAGTGCCTACAGACAACTTGTAATGATGTCATGCCCTCCACCACTTTCCTCTCTGGCTGATGGTTAACCTACCCTGGTTTCCTACTGTCCAACCTCGGCCTCTCACCACTCCCCCAAACCATCTGCCATGCATTGGGGATCAAAGCGATATTTCCAAAGAACTCTTCTCTGCTCATGTCCCTCTTCAGTTAAAAACGTCAGTGACACCCCCTTCCTCCCAGAGATTCAGCATTCAAGGCCCATCACAGTCTGATCCCAAGTTTCCTTGCAGCCTTTGTATGATACTTGTCACTCAGTAATGGCTCTTGAAACAGTCTCCCTGTTCCTGGCACCCACATGCCCACCAAATAGTCTTACCCAGTACCTTCTCTCTCTGTGCCCTCCCACCCAACCCAGGGGAATGGTTGTCAGTGCTGCCTAAGTGCAGCCAGAGTCAGCTGTGCCCTGACTCTCCCAAGCTTCCTTGCCTGCTAGCCTGTTCCTTCAGAGCAAGGAGGGTGACTTGTTCGTCTTGTGTCCACAGCATGAGGACAAGCTCGAGCAGTCAGTAGTGGGGCAGAGAGCATCTGCTGAAGGAGACAGGAGTGCATGTTGGAAGGTTCCCAGACTCCTTTCTGTTGGGCTACCCTTTCCACTCCGGTGGTCTCCAGGATCTACCTGACCCCAGGAACCAGGTACTGGGGCAGCAGCCGCTCTCCAGCTCTGCAAAGCCAAGGTTCACAGAAGCTAGAAAAGGAGAAACCCCAGACCCTAAGGACAGTAGGGAGGATCTGCCAACAGGAAGGAAGTTCTCAGCAAAAGAGGGGTGGGGGGAAAGAGGGGCTGCATACCCTCACACTGGAGGCAACAGTGAAGGGCAGGGAAGCCTGGTGCAGAGACTGGCAGGGTCTTCCAAGTGGAGAGCTTTGCACAGGACCCTGGCCATTGCCATGACTGTCCCCTCTCTGGGCCAATAGGACTTTAGCTCTGAGACCCATATCCCAGCTTCCCCAACTCCCCTTCAGACCCACATCCTCTTGTTAGAGTGCTCAGCACAGAAGCAGCTGTCCTGTCTTTCCGATGTGATGCCCAGCCTGGGGCCCGTGGAGGACCCGGCCAGCCTCCCCTCGAGCTGGTTCCATCGCACTTGCAGGGCCCTAAGAGGCAAGCCAGCTGGGGCTGCCTTTCCTGTAAGCAGCTGCAGGCTAGCCTCCCTGCTAGGAAATGCTTTTGTTTGCTTTAATAATTAATAGCCGCTCCTCAGCCTGGGACCTGGCAGACAGGCCTGTGGGTGGGTGGTGAGGGAGTGGGCAGAGAGAAGCAGGGTGGCCAGTCTTTTTCCTTCTTGTTTAGGGACCTCGGTGGCTGAGACAATTTCCTGGGGCAGGTGATCAGAGCCGCTGTTGGGACAGTGGGGGCAGAGGATATGAAGCAGCCCCCAAAGCCTCCTCTCCGCAGGCAGCTGTGGACATGGCTCTGACAAGCTGCGTCTAGCCACTAGGTCTTCCTCTGCCCACGTGGCCGAGGTGGGTGCACACCAGCGAGCTTCTGCTTTTACCTTCCCTGGTCTGCGGCACAGCCAGGCTCTGGGCATGTCGGGTTGGGCAGGACTAGGCCCGTAGATCTT